TAGATGGAAGCTCACTTCTCTTATATATTATTCTTGTTATGACAAACCTTGAAAATGCTTGTCTTAGACTGCTAAAAGCCTTAAGCATTAATTGTTTTCTATAGAGAATTCTAAGCTAATATGTAATCAGTTCTAACTTTAGGATAACTTCCTTCAGGCTGTCAAGCAACAGCCATTACCACGTTGCTGGAACCAGACAAGGATTTAAGCCAGCGGCCTTGCCTGGAGCCCCTTCCCAGGGCTGCACAGACCCTGGAGCAGCTGACAGCACAGAGAACAGCAGGCAAAGGGATCATGTTTGTGTTGTGCTTCTTCCTCTCTGCCATATGAAGGGACAGAGGTTATGTCTAAGTCACACTGCAAGTTTGAATAGGAATATCCCACAGTGAGCACGGCAGAGATGCCGCAAGGGGGAAATGGCACCAAAACAAGTGACAGAAGCTACAGGAGAGATCGAGCTGTGAGTGATCAGGCTGGGCAAATTGTGGGGAGAAGAACTGAGCCCCAGTGCTGAAGAGAACTGCTGTCTGTACACAGTGGTATGCCCTAAGGTACTTAGATATGTATGAATGTGAAGAAGTGTCAGCATTGTAAGGCATAATTTTCTTTTAAAAAAATCTTAATTTTTAAAACATTAATTAATTTTAATCTTCAAGTAGATCTCCTTAAAACCTGTATTTTATGACAGAAAACAAAAATACATAACACGACAATCTCTGTTTTAAAGGCAAACTAAAAACTTTTCTTCAAATTTTTGTTCTAGGAGCTCAAAGCTATTATTTTTATAACTGTTTTGTTCCCTTGCATTTCAGTGTACATCACATATTCTATACTATAAAATATTGACAATTTTACAAGGACAATAACCTTCCAATGACTGAACACAACGCATTACCTAAATTTTAAGAAAAGCTAATCTCTATGAGACTAAGTAGTTCCCTATCTTAACTTGTGCAAAATGTATCTTCAACCTTCCTGAAACTGCAGAGCTGACAACACTGGAAAAAAGTCTACCTCTACCTCCACAGAAAACCCTCTTAAGTTTAATTCTGATACAAGTAAATTTATGTAAAGTAACCAAGTAATTTGGCATTAACTAGGAGGCATGACATTTAAAAGTCAGTCTCTGTTGAAAAAAATTGAAACTCAGATGAACAACTAATTCACTGAAAGTTACTTGCCAACAATTTTTTTGTGTGTTGTATGCTTTTCTCAGGGTCTTTAAAATTGTTTCTATTTTTAAAACATCTCTCTTTTAAGTGACAGCATCATTTGTATATTTAACAACTACAGGCTAAGACTTCTCTTGAGCACTGATCTATTTGTATGTAGTATAATCTACTGAACTAAATTAGCTATATATGAACAAATCTCAAGGGTTTATTATTTTGTTGTTCTTTCACAATCCTTTTTCATTCACAATTGTGCACAGCTGCAGTGTATAAAATAAATAGGGATTTTGGGGTGTTTTGAGGCAGGGGTTACTTCATTGTCTTCAGATAGACATGTTTTTGCCATTGAACAAAGCGGTTAGCTGACCTTAGGAATGTTACCAGATCATCTCAGCAGTACAGCAGGGTAACATCAGTGAAAGAAATATTTCGTTCTTTCTTGTATGTATTACAATTTGAGGTCTTTTTATTATATTAGAATAACATATTAAATTCATACATTACTGGATGTTGAGACAATTAGTCTTTAATGATTACAACAGCAATTACTGTTTCTGAAACCACTCTTTCAGGCTAACATTCTGCTTCTTGGCTATCCACAGAACACTGTTCTAGGATTCAATTCAAAATTAATTAAACTTGCAAATTTATTGAGGTCAATGTTAATTTGAAAATTTAACTGTGCTAATTTTTTTTTTACATGTAAGGATTTTTTTTTCTTAAATACCACTGCTGAAGAAAAGGTAACGGTCTAATAATGAGAGGCTATGGCTTTCAATATAGCAATAAATTATCTTCAAGAAACCTAGGTATACAGTAAATTAAGTATCAAAAGATGACAGTGAGGTTATCTTCACTTTCAGTATTATATTAACTGACATGAGTGCACGTGCATGTGTTCTTTGACGAACACATCCTAATAGTTAACTAGTATGAAGATGTTAACAATGTCAATATTGAAGTTTATGTAACAGCCTGCAATCAGAGAAAGAAAATCTCCCTGAAAATACAGCAACAGTAACAATTTCCATCATTCTGTAATTTTTAAATTTGGATTTATCCACTAAAACTAAAAATATATGTGAAGAGAAAGAAAACTTAAGGGGAAGTAGTTAGAAAACTTTAAATTGATTGATTGTCACAGATGAGTGACAAAAAGGAAGAAGTCTGCAGGGACCTGAACTTTATTATTTCCTACCTTAACTGTAGCCCAGAAAGACAAGTTTCTCAGAACACTGCATTTCTGAACTTCATGCTCATAAGAACTATGGGGTATCTTTGAATTTGTTGCACAATGAAGTCTTGAAACTGAGACTTTTGGAGATTTCAGCATCATCAGTCTGATAGAAAACACAGCTTGACTAAAACAGTTCAGGTAGTTTTTCCATTAGGTCAAAATAGGACTTTTGATAGAGCTTTGCTTCAGAAAAGATCAGGTTTGAGGACGGCTTGAACACTCACAGACTTATTTTCTTCTCGGAGTGATACAGGGCAGACAGCCAAGGAAGAAAGGGGCTCTGGAAAAAAGTAAAGTATGCTTTTCAGGGGAAACAGGAGTTTGTATTAGTGGGCACAGAAAACTTTTGACAAACAAAAACTCCAACCAGAACCTGAACAAGACTGCTGCTGTCTCCTGATGGAATCAGAGAGCTGGGCCAGAAAAAGAAGGAAGATAATTTATTGGGAAGCAGCACTGCCAAAAACTTCTTCAGCCCAGACAGCCCCTTGGTTCCTGTGGTGTGGTCAAACACAGAAGCACCCAGTAACAGTTTAAGAAATTCAAGCTGTTTTCCTTTCTTCCTTAGTTGAAAGGTGTATAACTGAAAAGCCACGTGAATTAAAAAATAGATACAATGACCACATGATAATAGATGCCCTATTTTTCAAAGGGCTGTAGCATCTCTCTTATGAGGACAGAATAAGAGAATAGGGATTGGTCAACCTGGACAAGACTGACCTAATCTTGGCCTCCCAGTACCTGAAGAGAGCATAAGAGAAAGGTGTGAGACTTTTTACCAGGGTGTGTAGTGACAGGATGAAAAGGAATGACTTTAAACTGAAGGAAAGTAGGTTTAGCTTAGCTATTAGGAAGAATATTTTTTTTTTTCCTTTGAGGGTGGCAAAGCACTGAAACAGGTTGCTCAGAGAAGCTGTGTCCCTAAAAGTGTTTAAAGCCAGGTTGGATGAGGCTCTGAGCAAACTGGTCTAGTGGAAGGGGTGTCTCCCATGGCAGGGGTGTTGAACTAGACAATCTTTTAAGTCCTTTCCATGGTCTCCAATTCCTACAATATCCTATTTCTACTTCACATGACATGGACAGGAAAAATAGTTATTACCTTATTAAAAAAAAAAAACAAAACCAAAGTGCATACTAATGGTGCAAAATTTGCCAAAATTGGCTGAACCTTAGCCTTTGAAAAGAAAAAACAAAAATCCAAAACCAAACCAAACCAAAATGACGGACTGCAAGCAAATTGCATGTGCTGGGGGAAAATAACAGAATATTGGAATATTGTTTCCAAAGTATCAAGAACTTCCACTAGATCTTGCAGCTTTGTAAGTTTTGAGAGCTTAATTGAAGAAGGTGACTTAATTCAGCCCCAGCTGCCAAGCCCTGCTTTGGTCCCAGGGTTGCATTATTAGACATATAGCAAGATTTTGGCATCAGGCAGTGTCTCATTCCTTCTCTTCTACCACAGCTATGAAGATTGAATGTGGGGTAGAAACAGTACTGTAGGCATAAAATATCCAGCTGTCTGGATCATGCAAACTTTACAGGTGGCTGAAAAATTACTTTTCACTCACCTTTCACTACTTACCATGGAAATATTTGAGGGTAAGTTTATTTTTCACAGAATTTCTGGAGTGAATAGAACAAACACAAAGAAGAACATCATGCAGAACAAGTAACAAAACCCCTACAAGATTCCCCAGGGGAACAACCCTCAGGGGAACAACGACACAGTGTACTGAGCGTAAAGCAATACTAGCCCCAGCAGTATGAAATAAAAGAATGTACTTTTCTCTTAAACAGCAAAAGCTATGAATTCTTCCTGGTTACTGTTTGAGGATTTATGTTACAGAATAAACAGAAAAGTACATATCACTGTGGACAATATGAGCACTAATTACTTGTTACCAAGGCCGGACTTTAAGTTTGTTTGCTTAAAAAAGAAACCCAAACCAAACAAACACCACCACCACCATACCTGGTTATAAACCAAGACCTAAGGAGCTGCTGGCACTCACTTGAATTTGAGGAGTGAATCCAAGTCTGAACTACATGAAAACATCTGAACAATTGTGCATATTTTCTGCAACACGGACACTGTTTATCTTTGATCTTCTGTTTTATTTGTGTGACTTCCCAGCATCAGTGAATATATGATGAACAATACAATACTTACATTTTTATTTTGCAGCTACATATGAAATATCTGGTTGCTTGAAAGGCAAGAGGCAACATATTACCTTTGAGGTACATCTGGATGAAATGGAGACTTTCATTACAAATTCTGTAAATTTTTAATGGAAAAAACCCAACTAAAATTATCAAAAAGTTAACTTAATATAGTATTTATTTTTACAAAAATTATAAATAATTTTCTAGTTATACCCTGGAAATGTGTTCTTTGCTTTGTAAACTAAAAATAATTGGTGTACAGAAATATTTTGAAAGTCAACTAGCAAGGGTTAAAAAATACAGAATAGTTAAAATAGTAACCATTAAAATTTAAATGTTAGTCAGATACCCAAATTTTACAGCGTCTGTCAGGATTTTCTGTTCTCTTTTAGAATGTCATTAATGTATAGAAGACTCCATAAAACTTTTTGTGAATGAAATTTTTATTTACACACTGTATCCAGAAGCAGATACATAATTCCTTATACAATTATTTTTCAAAAATGTGCAAGAAATTACTATAATTTTGTTTACAAATCAAAACACATTAAAATCAATGGACTTTGGATAATTCACTCTGTGGCGCGCTTAGTACAAACAGTGCACACCAGGTCTGAAACAGAGAAAAGTGTAAACCACAGCAATCTGAATTGCAAGTATTAACTTCATGGCACTCCATCATCACTATAAAAATTCTTTAACCCAACAGGTATTCATAAAAAATTCATTTCGAATTTTTCATTATCTGTGTAGAATTTAGATCACTTTCCAGATACAACAATGTCATATTTTTCACATTATGAACTACCATCTAGGCCATTTGTTATTTATAAAGAATGCCTGTAATTTTTCTTCTTTGCAGTCATAGAAAGATTTAAAGAAGTTAAATTGGCAATCATTAATTCATCTATAGCTTAGCTCAGAATTTGAAAGTTCAGTAACAGAGAAATACTTCTCATCATAGCCCATATATTGCTGGTATGCCATTTTAAATATATAATTCCAATATTCAGACAGATGAAATGCATCAAAACAAAAACTGCACAGATTTTACTTAGCCCAGAAGTCAATATTCACAGAAAGAAATTGGCTTTAACAAAATGCAAAGTCAGCTCATCTGAGAACAAAAAGTTTAATTAATAATTGCATTTCTGATCCTTCTGACAGAATTAAATTTTGATAAAAGATGGCATTCACTATGTCAACAGCAGGATAAGTGCTATATCCTTCAAACAGATCAAAGTATACAAATCACTTTCAGTTGTTTATAACACTGGCTTACAAAACAAAACTTAAAAAAAAACAGAGGAAATTTTGTGTGTGCAGATTTATTATTTCCAAATACAAGGTGTTGTTTTACTCTTCAAATTGGTAAAGTTATCAGTAATGTCAATAATTTCAGATACTGAAAGGAGTTTTATTTTAAAGTTTCATTTTCAAAACTATTTTTCCTCAATTCAATTGCATAAAAAGCATACCTTTTAAATCCTTAAACTGTTGTGCTGAATAAATAGCCATATTTCTACTCTATAAGAGCCATAGTCTGTTAGCTTTTGTTCCTAGTGTATTTACTTCCAAAGGTCTCCAAAATGTCCTCCATCATCTTTCTTTTATTTGTCAAAGACACTTTGTTCCTCTAATTTTCACGAAGCAGAAGTCAACACAAGTTTTGTGGTTATTCTGAGTGCTTCTAAATTGACTCATAACTAAATGCTAATGTGTTTCTTTTATATTAATCTTTATAATAAGAAATTGTAAGTATCTTTAATATTTTCAAAGTATTTTTTCTAAGTTCATTCTCCTGGCTGGCCAGACACCTCAGTATGAAAAAGTACTGTGAGGTTCTGATTAAAGAGACCTGTAAAAATAAGTATCTGTGTCTACTTACTACTGATTTAAAGCATTTGGAGCTTAGTAGAAATATCACCACTATTTTCTATTTGGAAGCAAATGCTCTATGGTTCTTACATCCTAGACCTCAACCACTTTTAAGTGTTCCTTTTGTGGTAGCTTTATGGCAGAGGAAATGACAAAGTTAACTTGACCTGATTAAGTTCACAGATGAACAACACAGCAAGGAAGGCAATTCAAAAACAGGATAGCTGCTTTAAAACATTTTTTTTTATTTTAAAAAGCATCATTTATGAGTGAACAACTGAAATTTATAAAGGTATGGGCAAGAATTTTATCATGTGTGTTCTTGCACGTTTTTCAATTCCACAATAAGACCAGCATATTATAGCTTCAAATATTTAGGTTTCAATGCAATGACTGCTAAATTAATGCATGTGGTATAATATAAACATATGTTTAATGTATTCAATAGTGGTATTAAATGGCAATGAAAATATTTTATATACTATAATCTTTCAAAGATTCTGTAGAATGCATAGGCCCTCTAGTATGGGGAAAGAATTTTTAAAGTGAAGAAAATGCCAGAGGTTTTCTTCCAAAAGTATGCATCCGAAATCCATAAAAATGATTTTCTTTTTCCTCTCCACAGACAGAATCAGAACACTGTACCATACAATAGGTTATTGTGCCTTTTTGAATAAAGTTAGTGATCCTGATTCAGGGGAGGGGGAATGGGATATGACTGGGTAGGGAGAGAAGTCAGTAGAGAAAAAAAAAGAAAACAGAATACTCCCTTTCATACATATATTTCCATGGCAGAGCCAACAAATCACATGTATAGACTGCTCTAGATTATTTTCTTTTTAAAGTTTAAAACTTTATCAGACTAAAGAGGAAATCCTTATTCTCCCTCCCTTAAAAGCAAAGGCAGTCTTTATCTACCTTTGATTTTCTTTTTTTTATTTTTTAGTTAAACATTATGGTCAAAAAATAAATTAAAAAAATATAAATTTTGTCTATCAATTCAGGCAACCCAAGATGTAGTGCTACTGCACCACCTTGCAGCAATACTGTATTCACTCCTAAAGACTCATTTTAGGGGACAGAAATGCTAGATTAAATAATAAGAAGAAAATGACCCAAATAAGAAAGATGTATCAAAGATGGACTTTTTTCCTAAGGTGATCTTTACTCATTAGCCACTTCTACCAGAGATGGGGAATATGACATTTTGAAAGACAAAACAGAGGGGCAGAGGCATGCAAAGCAAAGCCTCTCAGCAAGGCAGAGGCAGGTGTCCCTCCTAAGCCAGCTACTACCCCTGTAGCAAGTAACTCATAAAAGTGATTAAAAAACTGGAGAAAAGAAAACCAAACTAAAATAGAACAGGAAAATGCCATGGATTAACCTTGCATGATGAAAATATTACAGTGTAGAACCTGTACTCCCCACTGAAAGTCTTTTTTTCCCTACAGAAGGTTAGAATAACTGTAAGCTTTCAAAATGCCAGAATCTTTGACAGATATCATAAACACTTACTTAATTGATTCAATATTTCATATGTCAAAACATATTTCATGACAGCAAACTGAAACATATTCTGCGGTCACTGTATATCCAAACACCTCTTCCCAATAATTTGAAAGGCTAGGAGAATAGCATTTTAGAGATGTATTTAAACATCTTCCATATAAAATGTTATCAGTCCTGTTCCTTCCTCCTCAAAGGATATAAAAAAAGGGGGAAAATTATCCAAAAGACATTAGTGTATTACTGTAGTTTCTGAAGTAAAAGAAAAAGGTAGAAAAACCTTCTAGAAATGATAAAATTTCAAGTAGCTTGAACATAAATGTGGTAGAAATGATCCTATTAGAAGTTCTATCTCATCCCCAAAACGGCTTATAAATTTACGTTCCCATGATAACAATTCCTAGAGTCTTCCCACAAATCCAGGAAACTTCCTTCCCTTACTCTGCCAAAATAGACAGGAGGGAAAAGGAAAGAAAGAGGGGACCTGGTAGATGTTAATTTATTAACTGATGGCATGATTATAAAAGGTAATATTTTACAAGACCCCAATACCACAATTTTCTTTTAGGTACTATACATTAACTTTCATAGACTGTTTTTCAAAGGCCATTTTTAGAGGACAAAACACTGAGACGAGAAGAAGGCTGAACCAACCTCCTTAAACACAAGAGTGTACAGACAGTACAAGGCTTAGGAGGAAGGTTTCTTTTTTTCCCAAAGATATGCCGCATAACCATGCTCTTATCACACAGCTTTGTCTATACATTGGGGCATATCTCTACAGAAATGTCTAATTACGACACTAGGAAACAGTTTTTAACTTAGATGTAAAATTGGTAATTTAGAATACCAATATGCTATTTATCCATGATCATTTTTTCCAGAGGTTGTTTTAAAGGAAAAAAAAAAATCCATTCAACAAGTTTCATTTGACTTTTACTTATCGTTGAATACACATGAAATGTGCTTTCAATGCATAAAAATCACAGTGGATAGCAGCAAAGGACTTGGGGGAAATTAAGGAGAATTTGATCATTCACATTGTGATTAATCTGCACATTGATGAAAGATAGCTATTTCACACTTCTAAAAATAAAACTTGAGATCATTCTTTCCAACAAAACAAAACAAGAAAAAAAAGCCTCCCAAAATACACAAAACCCCCCAAAACAAACATAAATGCAAATGCATTACTTTTCTTTTACAGACAAAAATGAAATATTTTTATGGCAGCAAAAGATTTTGATAATAATGAAAGTCTGTAAACTGTAATTCAATCTCTTTTTGTTGTTGTTGTTCCCAAAGTGCAAGATGCAAGATTCCCGTAAGCTTTCAGTAGTGCTTTTCCTGTAAATAATCCTTCATTTTGTTTGGCAAAGGCAGTTTTTGAATCAGGTCTATTCTGGTGTACTGACGTATTACAAAACGACACAGGTACTGTAAAGAGCGCACCTGCATAAACCGTGACACTGGATTTGTCAGTCTCACTGGGTAAGTTGCAGATCCTGGCAGCCGGGATCTCGAATAGCAGAAAGCTCCATTTTCAGAGTCCCTGATTGAATGTTCAATTAAATCAACTATAGACGTATGTCCCTCCACATCTGGCTGTTCATAAAAACTAAACCTACCATTTGAGTGTTCAATTCTAGTGTGAAGAGTTTTTCCATGGGAACGAAAACTCAAACTTAAAAGATAACGATCATCAGAACTATCTCGGACGAGAAATGAGCCATCAGGCACATTAGCTAATTTTCCCTCTGCCTCCCAGCGTGTAATGGGGCCCCAGTACCATCCTTGTTTTGCAAGTTTTTTCAGTTCTTCTGTGAGGCTTGTCACAACCATAGGACCACTGTTCTGTACAGAGTCATAAACTCTTCCAACTCCCGGGGCAGTGTTAGGGTCAAAATTCAAATGGCAGCGCATACTTTCAGCCACATGGGCATCTGTGCCATTTAATCCATTGAAGTTCCTTTGGATTTGATTATTCTGCATTGGAGGTAGCAAAGGTGAGAGTGGAGGGACATCACTATGATTAACTCTTGGGCTTTGCAACATGACTCCTGTGGTACCAATCAACAAACCATTCACCGTCTGGTCCACAAAGATATCCGGTGCAACGACTACATCCTGATCCACTTGGCTCTCATCTTCATGGAAAGCATTTCCCCCCACTTGAGAAGAAACTGTCGAAACTTCCATGGGTGAGGAACTATCCAAACAGTAACTACGTGATCCTTCCAAAGGATACATTCCCTCATCTAAAGGCACAGTATACTGAATGTAGTCCTGAGGCATTAATCCAATAACTACAGGCACATGTTCATCAATATGAAGATGCAAGTCCCCGTTCTGAGATTCCGTATTTTTCAATGCATTGGTTTGTTCCTGGAACACATTTTCTGACTGCAAGTCATGGAAGTCCTTTCGAACACCATTCAGTGCTGGGCTTGGATTAGAGGAATGGACCAAGGCCTTGACTTTCACTTCCATTTTGATGCAAGTCTCTTCTGAATTTGTAGGTCGAAGTGGCCACGGAGTAGGGCTGTAATGGTGATTACGGAGGGAAGTGGATCTCAGAGGTCTTTGAGCTCGCACATCTTTGAAGGTTATTGGAGCAGATGAAGAAGAAAATGTGTCATCATCTGCAGAGCTTACAGATGGTGTGCTGCCTTTGCCTTTCTGTTTTTGTTTTGCTGAAAGCCTCCTTTTTAACGTACCCATTAAACTTTCACTTTTTGATCTATTTTTGCCTCCTTTTTCATCTTCACTATTGACTTCACAGCTAGCCAAATCTTTACCATAGCAGCTGCCAAACAAGGAGTCATCTTTTCCAAATTCACTTAATGATGGCTGCTGAACCATTACAAAGTCACTTTCATCTTTACTTTTATTTAAGTTAAAGGACTTGCGAATTGTTTTGAGACTAATTTTCTTCATTATGACAAGTTACCAAATCTGGGTGATCAGCAGTGCTTGTGGTGATACAGCCCTAACACACGAAGAGCAGTTTCTGCTTCATTTATGTGTTCTATCCAGCCTCATTTAACTTCAAGAGCCATTTCCTGAAAAGAAATAAACAACAATTACATTCACAAAAGAAATATTTCAAAAATTATCAATGAGGGTTTCCCCCTATCCAAACAAAACAGAAATTTCAGTACTTTAACAATGAGCATCACATAAAAGTAAAAATAAGGAGCTGACTTCGAAACAATCAGGCTCAAAAAATGAAATTCCTACATCGGCCTTGGAGATTTCCACAACTTCTTTCTGCTTTCAGCATGGTAATTTTTGGAACATCCACACACCTTATACTACACTCACAGGCATATATATTTAATGCATTTATAATTAATTTTCAAACATATAAATACTCTCTTTCCAAAGGCTCCTAAAAAATCCCCACACAAGTAACTACAGAAGATAAAAATACAGAAAACATTCTAATCAACAGAATTCTCACATGCAGGTTAAACTGTGATTGGTCCTAAAAACATGGTCTTATAAGGTTATACTTTCTCTACACAAGAAAGTTGAGTAATATTTAGAAGGCTACATATTTATAGGAAAACTAAGTGTAGTAAAAATACAGATTTTCCTTAACAGCAAAGTAAAGTAACATACATTTACAGCAAGTCCTCCTGAACTTCTGTGAAAGAAAGGATTTCCAATCTATTTTAGCCACAGAAAACCAAGTCACAGGCTCTTACTGCCTAAAATTATTAGAACTTTTCTTTCTCCAGTATTTCTGCCAAGACCTAGTGGACACAGCTGCTCAAGTTCCAGACAACTGCTCCCACCTGGTATCTTGCAGAATGAGGTACTCACAAATTTTATCTTTTGGATTGTTTTTTTTCTTTACTGACATTTGACTGTGTTTTTGGGGGGGCTTTGGAGGGGCATGGTTTGCTTTGTTTTAATTTTAGCTAGACCTTCCAAAGTAAACAGTTCTGCAAAGAGAAGGACAACGCATGGGAAAGAGAAGAGAGGGAAGTTCTACTCGCACAGAAGTAGGTACTACAATTAGTAGTAACTGTTAGTCCACGTACCTCCAAATACGTGTGGTGTTAGCAGCACAACCTGTAGCAGCAAGCCTGGCTCCAGGCTAAGCATGGCAAGCTGAAGGAGTCTAAGAATCTTTCAAGAAATCTTCCAACCTTGGTGGACTGAGGGGAAAGTAAAACAGCCCTTATATACGCACTTCTCACTTTTCTCCCAGAGCATCACAATATAAGCAAACCGAGAAAAACAGTGCAATGGACTGAAATAAGTTTTATTAACTAAACAATGTTGTTTTCTTAAATATGCAGTTTTTGAATGCTTAAAACCATGGAAGGACAATGGTTAATATAACCAAAAAGCAGTCCACTGCCTATTGCTGTTGTCCAGCCTAACTACTGTGGTCCTCAAGTACACAAAAGCTGAAGGATCATATCCAAAGCAAACTAAAAGGTAATGTGAAACATCTACGGATTCTTAACTTCAAAACACTTGGAAAAATTTTAAGTAAAACCTTGCTGCTGGAGGGGTGGACACTGCTCCATAAAAAGCAGAAGTAGTAAAGATTGACTTACTTGGATTGTACCCTAGTCCTATCTGCATCAACCTATTTCAAAGAGTGGTTCTGTGTCCTTGTCATAACCTCTGATATTTCCCAAGTCCATCTTAAGAGCACTTTCAGATCTTTCCATTTCATTTTCTTAATTACCAAACTAAATAACACTTTCTTTCAATGGGGAGAAACTAAAAGGTTTCTCCAGTCTCTAAACTGATTCACTTTCTAACAGCAAAGAACAAACATGACCAAAACACTTCTTAGACAAAAGCCTAAGAATCAATTACTTGCTATAAATTAATATTAAGACTTAAAAAAAACAGAGCTAGTATTTTATGATATGTTCACTAGTTATTTTCCACTTTTAACATACCTGTTGCATCAGGAGTCATGAAATCCTAAAACACCATCCTCCAGTTACACAATGTGAACACAATCCTGAGTATGAATTTTCAAAGGTTAAAACACTATGTTTACTTTCCTACAAGTGCAGATAAAGGGAGATTTACACATCAATTAAAAGGAGACTCAACATGTCACTGACTTTCTAATCCTAAATCAATTGGATTTTACCACCTTTCCAATTTGCAGAACTTTTTGTCATATGTAACTCAATTAACCTACAAAATAAGTGAAAATTACAACTTCAGGATTGCATGCATCTCCTAAACTAAGAAAGTCAGAGCATTGATTCATTTGATAAAATTAACTCTGCTTTTGTGTGTGGAGAACCAGAAGCCTGGGAACTATCACATTAGCTCCACCTGTGAAATCCACATGTTCTCCAACTGCTTCTGACATCCACAAGCAGATATTATTTCCACTTTTCCAGAAATGTTCCCCCCTCCTTGCAGAAGGCACTATTTGCAGTTAACAATTTCATCACTCTTATGACCAGCCCCAGAACTTAAGGAAACAGCATGAAACTGAATCAAGGGGTATTTAGGTTGGATACCAGGAAAAGGTTTTGTGCATTGAGGGTGGTTGGGTACTGGAACAGGCCCTCCAAAGAAGTGGTCAGAGCGCAAAGCCTGATAGAGTTCAAGAAGTGGCTGGACAATGCTCTTAAGCATATGATGTGATTTCTTGGGGTGTCCTGCAGAGAGCCAGGAGCTGGACTCAATTACCTTGATGGGTCCCTTCTAACTCAGTATATTCTGAATTCTATAAAATGGTTAGTTTATTAGTTGTATTCTTGCAAAAATTCACATCAAGATATAAGAAAGGTTTGATAATCAACTGTAAAGCACATAAACAACATGCATCTATCCAGAAGCCCAGTTCATTCATGCAAGAGAAGACAAAAATTCTAGGTCGAAGCTCTTCAAAGTAAACCAAACACACTCATATCATGAGAGCAAGTCTCTAAACAAGTCATCCATATGACACCCACCCTATGACACCTCCTATACATATTTTATCCAGGACATGAGAAAACAAATACCCCCTGAATTCAAATACCCAAACTGATCCCAATACTCCTCTTTCTTTGCACATACTTAAAGAGTACTTTCTTCGCACATACTTAATTCTGGATTGCATATCAATATGTTTAGAAATGCTGTATAGACAGATCTCAATACAATCGTATGCTTGCAAGTATAGAATTCATTGCAGTCTTCACCTAATAGAGCTGGAGCAGAAGAGGCCAGGCATACATCCCTTTCTGGAATATATTAAAATGAATTACACAACTTCTTCACAACCCTCAGCACAGCAACAGCTTTGCTAGTATTTTGCATCAATTACAGCGTGACTGAAGTCTCCCACCAGTGTGCTCTTCCAGTGCCATCTGCCTGTACAGTGAATTAGACAGCCTAACAAGAGATAACTCTAGAAATTCTTCTGGCAGATATTTGCAACTATAAACAGATTTGAACTCTACCAATGTATTCCTAAAGCCTGGTGACTATGTGTGCAGAAACATGGTCAGTCTGGAACACACAGACTGAAAATGAGATTAATCAAATCCAGCAAGAGAATGAGATCTTAATGCACAGAATAATGTGAATGAATGAAATTCAAACTTATGAATTTTCATCACAAATTCTGCATTTCAGAATATTATGCAAGTTAACAAAATACAGGCCAAGTCTCTGGACAAAAACTACCAGATTATTACCGAGCAAAAACCACATCCCCTGCTGCACATAAAAATATGTGCAATGAAATGCAAAATATATGTGTAATGAAAACTAAATTTGCACACTTCACTTGGAGGAAGAGCAACTTTTCTCAATCACATAAAAATGTGAAATTACTAGTGAAGATAATTAGAGCTTAAAGTTCACTTTACAGGCTACTTCTTGAAAACCTGAAAAGCAGGCCATGCAATGGTACATTAATTATTATGGTGGCCAGCACTGATGTGTGAAAAATTATGAGTTTTAAATATATATATCAGTTTCTGCAAAGCCAGTTTGGATATTCCAACATTTCAGATATGTTTCAGTAGATTGGAATCATATAGCTATCTCAAAGCAGTGTTTGCAAAAGTACACAAAAAAAAAAAAGTTTGATTATGCTGTCTTTATTTATTTCTGATCTTTTTCACACTTTTATGCTAGGCATACTCATTTACCAAGACAAACACTATAAACAATGCTGCCGAAATGCACTGCAATAGAAATAAGGAATACCTTTAAGGAGTTAGGCTAGAAAACACCATACTGGAAACATACAGCAAAATACAACTCATGTGTGAACAAAGAATTGTCCTTAAAAAGTTTACTAAAAAAATAATCACAAAAATTACTTCAAATTATTAGGCTATGTTACTTCAGATAACTTTTCTAAAATAAATGTTAATCTGCTTATTTATTTCCATAAAGTGAAACAGCTGAGCATCAAACTTGATTTTCTTTTTAAACCCACATCAAACTGCATCATTCCTGAAAAGTCTCTCTTTCACTTAGAAATATATAATCTTTATTCTTATACTGGATCATCATAAGACTTATATAATTTACAATTTCAATTTATTGTATTTTAACATAATTAGGAAACTAACTAAAAATACCTCAAAATTGAAAAGTTTCTGCATTCCTGAGCATGACAATCATTAGGTTCTCATTACTGTCAGATAATGAAGCCTATTCTAATCTGCAGAAGTATGAGGTGCCATTCCCCTGCTTTCCTCAGATTCTCTCTGAAATATATTCACACATTCTTTTGGAAGACCATGTCAAAAACATGGCATCCTAAGGTAATGCAGATTTCAAGACCTGCGTTTTGGAAATTCCTAAGTGTCTACATTTTCTCCAAAGTTACTAAATCTATTAATATGAATTATTAAGAAGTTGCTCTCCATATCCATTTGCATCAACTCTACTTCAACACTAGAGTCTGTATCACTGGAAGTTTTTCTTCAAACCAGTACATAAAATACTGACTCGAGGTATTTCCTGGTATGTACTCAGGGTTCCAGGCTATATGAGCACAAAAACTATGCACAAAATACTCAGTAAGTAAAGAGAGATTCAGACTTCAAACACCATCAGGTTCTAAAGAACATACACACTACAAGGCAACTTTTGGCTTTTTCTCTATACCTGCCACAAGCACACTGAAGACAGTGAGGTTTTTCCCATCACTGATCTTCAAGTACATTCCTACATTATACTCCTTTTCAGTAAGAAGAACCTTTAAATTAAGTAATCAAAATTCAATTGCATACTCTTATATCTTGAAAACAACAAAAAAAGGTAAATTATTTTAGTAGTAGCTTCCTTGCTAATGGATGAACACTCCCCTAATATGATCACAAATTTTATAAAAGCCCTTCTGACTTGCATACCTGCTTTTCAAGTGAGCTCAAGGCTCAGATGTACAACTACACACAAAATTGGAACAAGGAAAAAACAGATGAAAAGCTCATCTGACAGTACATTACACTTATAACATATCAAGAGTACTTAAAGCCTCCTGATTTTAAGCTAACTAATCAAAGACCTGAACTGTGAGTTATTCACCAGAAAATTTATATTTCTACCCTCTATGATTGGAGCAGCTGAGGAAAGTATGGTGAAACTCTCTACAGGGTAATATAATTGAACAGGTTTTATAAGATTACAATTTAAAACAAACCAACCAACCAACAGTAAGTCATATAATTTAGTCATATCACCTCTCCTATTTTTTTCCCTCCTTTTACAAAACGTAAAACAGTCCATGGACACTACTGTTGCAATACAGGATAAAGTAACCCTAATCACTACCAACCTTTAGCAGAGAATAACCAAGGTACATCTTTGGTAATACATAGAAAAGTGGGGTAAATTAATAACTTAATTTTTTAACTAAAAACTTGACACAGTGAAATTTTTTTTTTAGCACTTCTGATTTTGGGAATTAAAAGTATGCATAACCAGCCATTGGAAAGGTCCAAATACCTTGACTGCTTTTCCCTGGCCTGCTGTTGAAAAAGAATGCCCTTTAACATTTATATTTCCGTTTTTTTTTTTTTTCATTTTCTTTCTTTGAACACTATTTAATCCATGACTGCTTGCAGTAAGTCCTGTTCCTTCCCATATTTGGTTGCAGAATGGAATATTTCTATCTGATTGGTGATTTTCCTCTGGGGAGTAACTTAAGGGTGTTAAATGGCATCTCTATTATGGTTCGTATGTGTATATACAGACTTGTAACTATAATAATTTCATCACTACAATAGCCAAACCCAGTTACTAATATTAACAGTCCTCAGCCAAGGTTACATCTGTTACCCAAGGATGGTCGGCTGGGATCCGTATCTGCTCCTGGGCTACCATGGGCACACTAATGTGAGGGTGTTAAGCTGAAGTTGGCACCAGTTGGTACTGGCTCAAGAACACACACAACAGCATGATACCAGAGCTGCTGTTGGAGGAGGAAACTCCAGGGAAGCTGGGTGGATGACAGCCAGTAACCACTTGAGCCATTCCTGCTAGATCTCTCACAAACTGAGAATCAACACCCAAACAGGGAAACAAGCAGACTGTACTTTTCATATATTTACTAAAAGACAGGCAAAAGTACCATCTTTCATCACGTTCTTTTAAGCAAACATACAATAATAAAGCATACTGCTAACAAATTGTTTCAAGCATGTAGAAAAATTACCAGAAAAATGAAACCACAATTTGGCTCTAAGACCCAGATCAACAGCAAGGGAAAAAAGGGCAAACAAAAATAACCCAGCAGTTCTATGCATGCCAAGGCACTGAAAAAGAAAAAAAAACATTTTTGATGAATTAAATGAGAGAAGTCACTAAAGAAACCTGATGTGTTCACGTGTTTCAATGCAGAAAATCCTATCCATTGACTGAAAATAAACCTTTGCTTTTAGTTTTCACATAGCTGTGCAGAAGCAGATGAAAAGTGGGAATAATGCTCAGTCAGGCTCTGTTTTCATTTTTTACTATTTTACAAGAATGCAGCAGCCAGCCTTCCAGCAGACTGTCTGTCAGCAAAAATTAGGTAGTTTCATAAGCAAAGGTTAGACTTCTTGTGAGAAAATGCATGAGAATTCCTTTCCAACTAAGGGTCCATCTCCCACTCCATCCTGACAGAAGATTACACCAAGATGTTTCCCCTCCATTGTAAGTAAGGTATGGGGTAGCCTCAGCTTGATAATGAGGATTTATGCTTATCCAAGATATTTATGCAATCCTCTTAAACTATATCATAGTTATGTTAGGAGTCTGAAAAGCTGTAAAACTATAATGCTCTACAAACCAGCATTTCATTTTACAATACAGACCAACACCACATTCTGTAAAAAGAATCAATTTTAAAACATTTTTGCTCTAAGACGGCAAGGAACAGATTCTGTACCTACATATTTGAGAACAAGGTAATTGTTTGAAATTAATATCATGAAAATGAAATGAAGAACAGAAAAAGCACAGTAAAAACAAAATAAAACTGCACTTCTGCACTTATTTTCATTGAGAAGTATGCATAAATATCTAAATGCTGGAATGTGTGTTGAAAATAACATAATATATGTAATTGTATGGATGCAGGTACTAAAACCCAATGCAGTTTGGTTTCTGAATCCTCAGTTTTGCACTTCCAAACATAATTTTAGAAATACTATCCATCCATTTCAAAGCATATGCCAGAAAGACAGAAATAATAAAGCAGACCATTCTCTCAAAGTGGTTTTTTGTGGTCAGCAACAATCTGACCACTCTTCATGTTAGTGACAAAATAATATAATTGTGAGAAACACTTTTCCAGCTCTTCCCAAAAAGGGAAAGAAAACACTCAGCAGACATGCAACAGCTAAATAGCACCACTTCACGTTGACTTATATTGATTTTGGTTTCACTTTCAAAGTTCAGGCTGGTGTTCCTACAGCAAGCACAGAAACAGTGTACAGCTTCCAAAACACGAACCAAGATGAGGAGACATTAAACAGGTACCATGAATGATCTTTTCCTACTGTGCTATCAGAACATACATTCAACTTCTCAGACCAAAAATCTATCACCAGTGAACATCACAGTACGAAAGGCATATACCAAATGGGCAATACAGAAATACACCACTCAGTTAACACTAAATGCTACATTACATGTTTGTTTCCTGCTTCCAAGGGAAAAAAAATCACTAGGAAAAAAAAAAAGGGAAGACATTGTAGGAGAAAGAGGAAAAGACAGGAAAAGTAACAGAAAGAGAAACCTCATACCATATGGTACCATTACATAGATGATCATTCTGGGAGATATTGAAAAACACCTGGAGGACAAATCAGTCATTGGTCACAGCCAGAACACGAGAGGAAAGTCCTGCTTGTCAAACCTGATTTCCCTTTATGACAAGGTAACCCACCTAGGTGATCAGAGGAAGCAAACTGAAGTTATCTTTTTGGATTTCAGTACTTTTTTGTACTGTCTGCCACAGGATCCATCTGGACAAAATGTCCAGCGCACAGCTGGATAAACACAGCATGGGTTTGGTGAGCAACTGGCTCACAGGTCGGGCACAAAGAGTTATAGTGAATAGGGTGACATCTGACTGGCGACCTCTCACTAGAGGGGCTCTGCAGGGCTCCATCCTCAGCCCTGTGCTTCTTTCAACATCTTTATAAATGACTTGGACACAGAACTGGAAGAGATACTCAGCAAGTTTGCAGATGACACAAAATTGGGAGGAGCAGAGAAGTCCTGCAGAGACACCTTGACAAGTTAGATGGCTAGGCAATCACAAACCATACAAGTTTTAATAAGGGCAAGTGCCCAATTCTGCACCTGGAATGGGGCAACCCTGGATGTACAGACAGACTGGGGAATGAGATGCTGGAAAGTAGTGCCACAGAAAGGGATCTGGGGGTCCTAAGTCAGCAGTGCCCTAGCTGCCAGGAGGGCCAAGTGTGTCCTGGGGTGCATCAGGCACAGCGTCATCAACCGGGCAAGGGAAGGGATTGTCCTGCTCTACTCTGCGCTGGGGGCAGTCTCACTCCACCTCCCTTCCGACTTGGAATATTCTGTGATTGATGTTTCTGCTGAAAATTATAAGGGTTTGTACAGCATCACTACATATGAAACTATACTAAAAATTTTTAAATATTGCCATTCTCTCTAAATTATGAATTGTTAATTTGTTATAGTAATCTGTTTTTGCCTCTGTCTGTCCCAGTTACCTGATATGAAAATAAAGACAGAGGAAGTAGTTTTAAATTACTATAGCACCAAGGAACCATGACTGATAATTCTGCTTTCTTTAAGGTACAATATGGGATACTCTCTTCTTCAGGAGCAAAAATGAGAAAACAACATATCAGGAAAGCTATCAAGTCACATGCACAAGGGAAAAAAACAAATCCAAAACTAAGTTAAACATAACTTTTAAACACTTCACTTGCCATACTATCTAGCCAACAGGTGGCTTCATAGCCCATGTTTGTAAAACAAGTATCTTCACCAGTAAGTGGTAAACTGCTCACCTTTCCACTTATATTTGTCATTTATACTTATCTGACAGACAACCAGGACCATATGTAATTGGCCTTTATTCCTACAAATAACATCCACCTGGCATCAAAGATATATATTTTAAAAAAAATATATTCTGTACAAATTAGCTCCAGGTAATACAATCTCTTTTAAAATATCCAGATGTGTAAAAAAAAAAAAAAACCCAACCTTTTAAAAAGTATGTCAAAACCACAGTAATTAAATTCTTCAAGCAATAATTCAAATTTAGTTATCTAATGTATTCCAGCAGGAACAAAATAAATGCTCTTAAATGCTAAAAGATAAATATATTTTATAGCGATCTATCTACCAAATACACAAGCTGAATCAAAGGCACCTGAGACAAGTTTTCAAGATAGTGACTGGCTTTATCATTCACTAAACAGAAAAAGAGGATTCCATTTTTCTGGCATATGCAACAGAGTCATGTTCTGCAATTGGAGAACATGTAATTGCAGGAAGACTCATTTTCCAATTTTTCAGCTCTTCTAGAAGACCTGAACAAACATAAATACACTGCAGCCTTACACTGTCTTGTACCATTCTGCCTTGGATCTCATGGCTGAGGCTGACTCCAAATTAACCTCCCCAATACAGTTTTTCACTAAGACTGAATGACCCTTTAAACTTGTATGACCAGGCAGACTCTCCAACGTTTTTACTGTTTTTACTTCTATTACCCCCACCTGCTTCCATCACGTCATTTCCATAAGAATAAAAACCTTATTTCCTTAGAAGATAACACTATCCTCTCAATTCAAGCTAAGACGCATCAATTCTTTAAGAGATAGTTAACCCTCTACATAAATGGAAAAATTAAATGAACTCATTTATGGTCCAAGGGGAAAGAACACAGTGCCTTGATTAAAGAGAAATAAAAGTGGAAAGATCTTCCACAACATCTGTACAGAGTTCACACTTGCAGAGAAATCTCCAAGCATGCTGAGGAGGAAGCAGCTAATAAGCACAATCCCCAGAATCACTGAGAAAAAAAGGACTGACCTCTGTTTTGGGACTTCCTTCACTTAAATTATCAGAAAAATACAATGTATTTGCTACACAGATGACACACCATTCCCCTCCAGACCATATAAAAACGTCAATACTACATACTCCTTGACTTGCATCAAGGCATTTGGTTGCCATACAACTCAGATTTCATAAGTTTTCAACCTGCAGACTCCTATCTCTATGGCTTTCCTTTTTTATGCACATTAGATCAGTTCACATCTTTAAGCTTTAACAGTGGGAAATTCTAACAGAATACAAACACCAACAACTGATATTATTCATGTGTGCATTGTTAAAGAAAAGTAATTTTGTGAAATTATCATAGATTTAATTCAATTTTTTAAACTAAAGACAGCGATATTTTTCCAAAGCAATAAACAATTGTGTTATT